CCTAGTCCAAACTACCGTTACTCCTCATTCCACGAGGAGTAATGGTAGTTCGGACTAGGAAGCCTAGTCTGAACTACCTAGTTCGTGCCGCGTGTAGTCGTGCGGCACGGGGTTCGAACGAGGAGAGATTTAAAAATGGCGGCTCCCCGCTTATGCAAATGAAGCCCGGGAAATTCAAATCCCGGGCTTCATTTGCAAGTGCGGTATGCCTACATTACCCCGCTAGTCCGAACTAGCGGGGTAGTGTAGACATACCCTCCGTGACACCACTGATTTCCTGAAAAAACTACAATGCATTGGTGATCTTCCAGAAAACACCATCCTAGCCACCATGGATGTAGAGGCTCTCTACACAAACATCGCACACACAGAAGGAATACAAGCTGTCAGGAATAGTATCCCTGATGATGCCACAACACAACTGATGGCTGAGCTCTGTGATTTTATCCTCACACACAATTATTTCAAATTTGGGGACAATATATACCTCCAGACAAGTGGCACCACTATGGGCACCCGCATGGCCCCACAATATGCCAATATTTTTATGGCTGACCTGGAACAACGCTTCCTCAGGTCTTGTTCACTCATGCCCCTTCTCTACCTACACTACATTGATGACATCTTCATCATCTGGACTCATGGGAAGGAAACTCTGGAAGAATTCCACCATGATTTCAACAGCCTCCACCCCACCATCAACCTCAGCCTGGACCAGTCTACACGGGAGGTCCACTTCCTGGACATCACGGTAAAATGAGTGATGGTCACATAAACACCACCCTATACTGAAAACCTACCGACCGGCATGCCTACCTTCATACCTCCAGCTTCCATCCAGGACACACCACACAATACATTGTCTATAGCCAAGCACTGAGGTACAACCGCATTTGCTCCAACCCCTCAGACAGAGACCAACACCTACAAGATCTTCAACAATCATTCTTAAAACTACGATATCCACACAAGGAAGTAAGGAAATAGATCAACAGAGCCAGACATGTACCCAGAAGCCTCCTGCTGTGGGCTGGCTACCTCCCCATTGAAGGTTCACTGGGCAGATATTTTGGCCTTTCACCCAGGTGAGGCTTGTTGCTTTGTTTTCGTGAGCCCCTGGTTGGGCACTTTTTTGAGGGTATGGATAGACTCCACCCACCAGCCAAGCACCTGGTCCCTGCTTGGGATCTCAACCTGGTCCTCTCAGTGCTCACAGGTCTCCCATCCTCCACCCCTTTGATTCTTTAGCAACATGTTAATCACTTTACCTTTCATGGAAGGTTGCCATTATCTCCACTAAATGGGTGTTGGAACTCCACACCCTCATGTCAGAACCTCAAAATGCTGTCTTCCATGGACACATGGTTCAGCATCTCCATCACTCAGCTTTTCTCCGCAAAAGTGGTCTCTAGTTTCGATATAGGTCAGGACATTTTCTTTCTGGTTTTCGACTCCAAACCTCACCAGAGCTCTTAAGAACATCCATACTGGGTCAGATCAAAGGTCCATCTAGCCCAGTATCCTGTCTTCTGACAGTGGCCATTTCTAGGTGCCCCCACAGGGAATGAACAGAACAGGTCATCATAAAGCAATTCCACCCATCACCCATTCCCAGCCTCTGACAAACAGGCTAGGGGCACCATTCCTACCAACCTTGGCTAATAGCCATTAATGGACCTAATCTTCATGTATTTATCTAGTTCTTTTTTTGAACCTGGTTAAAGTCCTGGTCTTCAAGACATCCTCTAGCAAGGAGTTCCAGAGGTTGATTTTGTGTTGCATGAAGAAAAACTTCCTTTTGTTTGTTTTATTAATTTCATTTGATGATTCCTAGTTCTTCTTCGAGTGATGTCCCCGTGGTTGCTCTAGGTGATGTCCCCGTGGTTGCATTAGGTGATGTCCCTATGGGTACTCCACATTAGTTCCTGTTCATTAGGTGCTGGGCTTGCCCCGGCACCGCAGGACAGAGATGTTTAAAGCCGTAGTCAGCTGGACCGCGCATGCATGGGGGTGATGTCTCGTGGCGTTTGCACTCTCCCACCTCTTCAGCTGCCTCAGGCTGCAGTTGGAGCAATCATCTCCCCTTCTTATTCAACCTTTTTGTGAGAAAAAAACCCAACAGTTATAATTCCTCAGTTCTTTTTATAATAATTCTCTATAGTTATATCTGTTGATGTTCCTCAGTCACATCTTTCACCATCGTCTAAGACCCTTTTACAACCAATGGGCCAAGATCACTACAGATGCTTGGGTCTTAGAAATAATCCATTCAGGTTATGTGATTCCATTCCTTTCTTTCTCCCTGACAACTCCCCCATCCCCATCCCTCTTCAGTGACCCCTCTCATGAAGATCTACTGTGGGTCAAAATCTCTCATCTCCTCCACATAGGAGCAATAGCAAGGGTTCCATCTTAGTTTCAAGGGAGAGGATTCTATTCCCGTTATTTCCTCGTGGAGAAAAAAAATGGTGGATGGAGACCCATATTGGACCTTCGACAGTTAAACACATTAAAAAACAATGTTTCAAGATGGTGACCTTAACTTCTACCGGCTCTGGAGCAGGGTGATTGGTTTGCTGCTCTCAACCTCAAAGATGCCTATTTCCACATGACGATTCATCCCACTCACAGAAAATGTCTACATTTCACAATTGGCATGGACCACTTCCAATATCGAGTATTTCCTTTTGGTCTTGCCACAGCGCCAAGGGTCTTCACAAAGACATTCGCGGTCATCACTGCCCATCTTCGACGCATGGGAAACACCATACATCTTTACCTAGACTATTGTCTAATAAAAGGATGTTCATCGACAGAAACTTCACACTTAGTATGGATGACTACCAATACTTTCCTTTTCCTAGGTCTCCCTTTCAACAAGGACAAATCCACTTTGATACCTTCTCAGAGCCTAGAGTTTATAGGTGCACGCCTCGACTCAGTCACAGCAAGGGCATATCTACCCCTTCCCAGGTTCCGGGCTTTGTAAGACCTATTGGACCAACTTCTATAGATGCACTTAGTACAAGTCATCACAGTTCTCAAATTAATGGGTCATATGGCTTCCACGACTTACTTTGTTCCCCATGCCAGGCTGCTCTTTCGACCACAACAACACTGGCTGATCACAATATACGATCCCATAACACACAATGTACGCAAGTGGGTAACCGTCCCTTCCACAGTCAAGTCTTCCCTCCACTGGTGGACAGTCGACGACAATTTACTTTTGAGCACTCCGTTTTGGCACCCACCACCTCGCTGTCACATTACCAGTGATGCTTACGCAAGTGGGTAACCGTCCCTTCCACGGTCAAGTCTTCCCTCCACTGGTGGACAATCGACGACTAATGTGTCCCGGTTTGTCGACACAGCGTGGCGGCCATTTTTATTTTAATGAAGCGGCGATTATTTTAATCCCTGCTTCATTGACTATTTCAAATGCCTGCATTTGCATCCCTAGTTTGAACTAGGGTGCAAGTGTAGACATACAAGGCCACATGCGCAACTGCCCCTATTTTGACGCCCTGGACTGCATCCTGAGGGGTGGACGGTCCATGCCACCCTGGGGGTCATCGATCCTGGAGCAGAGGGCCCTGACCAGGGCATAGAGGAGGAGCGCCAGGAGCCGCAAGAGCTCAGAGGGAGTGTGCCACGCAGCCAGGACCCCCAAGCCATGCCAGCAGACCCATCTCCAGTGTCATCTGGAGAGGCAACAATATGTGAGTGCCATCACTGTCCCCTTATTGGGGGGCAGGGAGGGCGACCAGGGACCGCGCGCGTGGGCCTTGCTTACCACGGATCATGCAGCAACCTGTGCACGTGCGATCATGTGCTATGCCACCCCTGGGCACGTGGCCCAGCTGGCTGCCACACAGGGGCCTTGGTCTGTTAGCCACACGCATATGTGAAGAGACATGATGTGCTCCTGACCCTGGGGTGAGACACAGCAGGATGCCCTCCCTCCACAAGGCCATTCTACACAAAGGCAGGTGACATCTCCCCTCACCTCACCCACACTATACACAGAAC